CCTCCCAACTAAGAGTTTAGAACTAATGATTTAATTGGAGCACCATACGTCGGAAAATAGTTAGGATTTTCTACGTTGTTTACCCATCAATTGAAAATTCTTGGCAGCACTGGCATGTGGAGCACCTAATAAATAAAAAATTAAGGCTTCGAGTTTGCAACTGCGGTATCTGCGATCTAGTCGGAGATATGCTCAGGAACTCGCAGGTCAAAGAGTAAAAAGCGGGTCACTGCTACCAATGGCCTGGAGGGTTTTATCCACAGAGATGCCATATATATTGAGACCTAATTGACCTAGTTGGTGTTTCAACCATAATTCTTGATGCACATCGGATGGAACCGGAGGCTCGTTGTGAAACATCCTGCAACTCAGAGCGAATTTTATTAAAGATCGCAATCTGATAAGATAGCAACTTTTCAATGTGAGGAATGTTACCGCCGTTTTGTGGTTGTCCTTCATGCATGTTCACCAAGTACTTCGCCGGTCTGAACACTTGAAACTGGTGAAGGCGAGAAGGCCTCCCTGACGCAACGCAATGTAAGAGATGCATACAGTCGAATGCGCAAATGAATGTTTGTTATGGAGGAACAAATAAATGGAAGTGATACCCAGTGATAGAAGCTAAACCTCTGTTGTGTAGTGATTTGCCTTGGCACTGAAAATATGTGAGGAAAGAACAAGCAGTTCACGATAGTTTAGGTCTCTATGGGGGTTCGTCTTGTTACTCACAAAAACAGATCTGTAAACGTCATTCATTCATGCCAGGCGAAGACCGCACAACAGTTCCCAGGTCGGAATTCCGGTCGATCAATTATTCCAAAATTTCTCTGGGTGCTTAAACCAAAGAAACAAAGCCACAAAATCCTGATTCAACTTAACGACAAACTCCTCTAGGCAATCGCAAATCTTAGTCATCGACTCCAAACAACAAACAGAAAATTCAGGCTGATGCCCAGTACGAAGCAGGTCGAGCGCTAATAAGAAATCTCACCGACTGGTTCTCTGAGTGCCTTGAAACTCGGTCAACCTGGTAACTTGGCATGACGAAGCTCTTGTGTCAAAAAGGAAACCTTGCCCAACAGTAACTCCAGAAACTGTTCATCAGATGGTGGTATTTTTTATTTTCTCCAAGTTTCAAACCGAAGTGTCCCTGAATTTGGTAACCCAACTTAGTCTTTTGTGTGACAGCTGTTGAAAGTAAAATGAGAACGGAGATCAAGGAAAACGGCTGATCTCATTAGCTTCATGTGCACTATACTGATCTGTAGTACACAGGGTGACTGATTAAATCCTGTGGGGACGTGAGTGTTGAGATTCTGAGTGCCTAAATTTGAATTAGAACCAAAACAAGTGAGGAAAATGTCTTTATGGCGTTTCCAACACAATTACTCACGAGACAGCGACACGGGCAACTCTGATTGTTTCGACTAGGCTACTTAACAGCATTGCACAGTCTAACGACCGGTTTGCCTGTCATTTTGGAAAGCAAGCCTGTTCTGATCACGCCACCTCCTAGCTGATCTTTCTTGGCATAGATCAATGGAATAAAGGAGATAAGCATCTCGATCAGTTGGTCGCCTACTGAGTTCACTTAGTAATTGCTTTTCCTCCCAAAGAGCCAATTTTTCTGAATAGACATACAGACACAATACAATAAAAAAAGGAAACGGAAGGGTTTAGATGCTCTTGGTTGTTGGTTATTAGGGCAAATGCTAGTGATAGTGGATATACTAAATGAAATTTTGACAAAAATCAATATTGGTGGTCGAAATATCGGGCATTTTCATTTAAGATATCCTCTGTGTAGTCACCAGTAGTTCAACTAAAATAAGAAAAAGCCCCTCTGGCAGGCCGACGCGCCAGACAAACTCCACACAACACATTGATTTTGGCATCTACCATCGGTATCCATTTTATCTGATTTTGTTGATCTGTATGTGCGTCAGTCCAACGGGCGTGTGTGCAAAACTGCTACATCGTGACGCAGTTAGACAGAACGTGCGTCAAATGGTGACAAAGCGTGACAGAAATGAACGTATTCAGCATAGAGATAGCTTCACTGATCTTCAGTATCCGTGATCGAATTTCGATGTAATAGGGTACAGAGGAAACAAGAAATGGGGTTGAGAATCATTTTCTCCTTTCTCATTCAACTTTCAACAGCTACCACCGAACAGACTAAGCTAGGTGACTAAGTTTTGCGTGATTATCTTCTCACTGATATCCCCTAATCTCCTCAACCGGAGCTGAGCTTCTTTCTTCCCAGCGACACGATTAGGCGCGTGCCACTGTGAAAATTGCTATCCTTTAGTGCTTAAGTGTGTACGCCTTTGAGTTGTCTCTCAATATCCGCCAAGCTGATAACCGGATTAGCGATCTAAATGGGTGCTGATTAATCAGAGGTTCACCTAATTTTACGCCTTACTAGCCAGCAGGTATTTACATCCACCCGTTCAACTATACCACTGGATACATGTGACATGACACAGGGTTTACATAATATAAGGCATAGCCTGTAGGAGAAGTTTACCCCTACGTCGTCGGGGTAAACGGCCGGTACAAACATGTCACAGCTAATGTGACTTAGTTAAAGACGTAGCGGTCATTGTGATTTGTGAATGATCAACAGTACCCCTGCCTAAATCGATGCCAAATCAGGTAATGCGTAGCAAGCAGCATAGCCAGAAAACGGTTGTCTAGCGTGTGTTAAACGCCAACTGGCGAGACTTCACCTCGACCAAAATGGAATGGTGGGTGAAGCCTACCATTTAATCAATTGAGGCCACATGGACATGTTTCCTGTTTGCACGAACAGATAGGTGTAATTGTACTCAGCCAAACGACATCATATTCATCCCTCTTTGTCCCTGCAACAGGAATTCATCGAACGGATGCAGTGGTTGAGAGGGGACGTTATATTTTTGGATGTCCACATCAGGTCCACAAAGCATAAGGGATCTATTGTAAAACAAGCAATCTTGATCCATATATATATATATATATATATATATATATCCCATGCATTATACACCACAGGAACTTCTTACAGGGAATAGTGTGGATTCTGCTATTAAATACCATGGGGCTGATACGATTTCTTTCAAAATCATGACCTCTTTATAACTTCACTCTCGATTACCGTCATTATCTGCCGAAAAAAGGATGATAAATCTGTAGCGCCGTTGGGCTGTACTTGAGAAATCGGCTACACGTTTGGTTAAATGAAAGGTCCGTTGAATCTGTTAGTTTCATGCCTTGTCACCCTAGAGGGATTTCCAAAAGCACAGGATATAATCGGACATTTCGCCTTCCTGATGTCTGAACAATTAACCATTCGCTGCTTTCATTGTGTTAACATTCTCCAGGAAGATTTAGTTGCCACCGTTCGGCAAATAGCAACTGATAAGTAGTGTGATTAACACGTACATGGAAAAGGTATAGGGCAAAACGGACGAGCTCCGATTGGGATGAAAAACTCTACCGAGCTTCCGGCTTCCTGCGCAAACCGGCTTCATTCACACAACGAAACTACGATTTAAAGACTCCCAGATATCATCCCGTTGTAAACAGCATAGGGGTTCAACCAAACTTTACTTGTTGGTAGTTGACTTACTTGGTTACTAGGCTGCAAGCTGCAGCATGGCATTTACTGCACAAAACTTTGGACGACCATAGTCCTGTGTTACTGAAACAGAAACGAAACGCTACTAAGTGTTTTGCAACCAGAGCTGATGGAATTAACACAAGAGATACATCATGACAAAAGATGTCCTGAACAATTTACGGTGAGAAACCCGAACGGTTATGTCACCCTTCGAATTAGACGGCGGACCAAGTAAAAAAAGATCCAGTAGATTGGACAACTGAATAGTGTCGTTAAAAAGAACTCTAAATCTTCATGGCTATAAACCCTATTTAATAGCCAGTCTGTGTTCACTATAAACGAGAATAGACTACAGATGTTTACATCATTCTTCCTTGGTTACCGATATCTTCACGTTTGTGATCAAACCTCTATTGGTCTCATGACACAGCTTCCTGCCTGCACCAGGTATCACTGTCCCGTCAGAACAGAGAACCTGTCGCGCACCATCGTTGTTCATCTGATGATCAAGGGTTACGAGACATATACAGTCGAAACCGTCAACCCCACACAGTTCTTCCAGTACTGTATATCACGTATTTTAGAGACAGTTTGAGTTTACAGTAGCCCATCTAGTGTAGTCCGAACAGACTGGCTAGGGCACCCCGGCCAATTTGGCCTTGAAGATATTTCATGCTAAATTTCGGGTTTGATAGTACGAAGCTCCTCGTACGTAAACGAGTGAGTGGGGCTCCTATGCATGTCCACCCAGGTCAGGGGCGTGATTATTAACTCTACAATGTACAATAAAGCAGTAATTCGTCAACCCTAAACCTCGAAAATTCAAACTAAGACTGGAGGGTATTTATTAGTCCATTGGGACAGTAACGGTCGTAGAGCACGGGAGAAAAACAGGCTAACTCTGTTGCAGCAAGAGTACATAACAGAAAATAGAGGCGTTTCCAAATGGGTCTGTACACAGGTGGAAGGCACTCATGTCAAGACAACTGTGTTTGGTACAAGAGCGCAACGTTCGAAGTCGAATACACGTTTCTTTTGTTAGCTGTGTACGTCCCCCAAATCTTATTCAAACATGATTCTTAACACGTCAGTTAATTATCTGCAAGCGTTGGTTAGCTCCCCGTTGAAGTTGAATCTGTGACTGGGAGAATCGTGGAACACAGACAGCTTGTCACACCCGACGAGTGACCTAGTTCATGCACTCGCTCGTGTAGGTGTGCGCCCTGTGTGCACGTTAGCCGGCAAGAATGGCGAGAAACCGCATGAATGCGGTGAAGCGACGTTTTGCGTAGGCGGGACTAACCAACCAATCAGCCGCCCAAGTTGGCTGCAAGCTGATTGGACAAATTTCCGGTAAACAATAGGCGTGTTTCGTCGCCTTGCCAGTTGGTCAGGCATGGGTGAGGCAGCCGGTTGTTTTGTTTCGCCTTCTGACTTTGACGTCAATCGGTTTATTGGCCGTGGATGTTATTCTGTTGTTTATGAGGTTGCCAAGAGGAATGGAACTGATTCCGGCTCACGTTATGCGTTGAAAAGATTCTTTCTGGAGAACGATTCTTCTGTAAAATGTGTCCTTCGTGAAAGGCGCATTCTAGAGCGCTTGGCACTAGCGGATTACGAGAGTCCTTTTCTTCCAAAGTTACTATATGGATTGTGGTGTAATTATTCTTCCGCATTCATTCTTCGAGAAGGAGCTGGTTGCGATCTGTACGACCTGCTATGCCATGTTGGTTTTCTATCGGAGACAAATGCCCGTTTTTACCTTACCGAGGTTATATGCGGACTAGAACACCTCCACTCACTCAACATCGTTCATCTTGATATAAAGCCTGAGAATGTTCTGTTTTACCCGGATGGACATGTTTTTCTTTCTGACCTGGATAGATCCTTCGATATAAGTCTGGGCATGAAACCTACACTTGATGATTTTACTGGAACACCTCTATTCATGGCTCCGGAGATTGCAAAAGGAGAAGTAATTGACCTACGCGCGGATATCTGGAGCCTCGGGGCACTTGTGGCCGAAATGGTTGCTGGACCTATTAGACCAGACTCTCATGATACCGCCCACGAATTCCAGAGAGCACGTTCAGGGACGTACACTATTCGGGGTTTGAAACGCTTCTCCAAACCACTACAGTCATTCTTCACGGTGTGCCTCCAGAAAAATCTTAATCAAAGACCTCACTTAAAGGACGTGAAGAAGCTCCGTTTCTTGCGATATGTTGACTGGGAAAAGGCGAATAAACTTGACCTTCTACCTCCGTATAAAACTTCCGAAATACACCACCGGCCCGCTAAAGAGGAGCGGGGTCCTCTCAAATCTACTGATCAGCGTGTCTTGAGTGGTGCTTTCAGTCCACTTAGACCAGTGGTCTTCGCTTCCAATAAGGCCAAGAAGAAGCAAACGGAACTGTGTGCCGTCCCGGTTGATTCGTTTACGGAGCAAAGACAATCATCCGCACTCACAGATTGCCTTAGGAAAGATGGATATACGTTGGAGTTGTTGAATGAAAGGTTCAAGTGTTTCAATTTTGTTCACCCGAGCTTGAGATATAACTATAGTACGGCCAAGCCGGAGAGCCAAAGTACTAAGTTGACAGCTTTGTCGCAAGACGATCTTGATACACTCTTCGGCGACAAACTGAAAATAATCGGTCTCGAAGAACCGTCATCCCCTTCACTCTTCCGAAGAACACGGAAGCGTGGTCTTTCGATTGGGGATTGACTATGTAGAGCCATCTCTCACACTGTAACATTGTCTTCCGTTTTCCGTACATGGAAGCCCATGGCGGATAACTATTTGTATTTCTGGACCCACGGAGAGTTTTTCTCTATGTTTGATTTTTATACGACCCGAGGCTACAGCTCTGTGGCAACAAACCACGTTGTATTGGTTGCTGCTTTCTCGCGCTTGTATCCGATGGTGCAGCGAATACTATTTCTGTTACAGCCAATTAGCACTTTTTTGTTTTTGATTCCTGTCTTGTTATACCTAATGGTTCCAGGCACCTGTATTAGTCTCGATCGCCTGGTCGACATGGTGGGCTTGGTTTTCTCAAGCCGGAATTAGGCGGATGATTTCACGTATTCGTCGAAAGATTAACAGGTGGCTGGCAGTCGATTACTGGGCTTCTCTACAGCGTTATTCATTGGGCTTCCTGGACACATACCTTGTTTCTCTACGTAGTACGACGCAAAAATGGTTTTGGGGTCCCCATTTCGGGGCTGGATATCTGTCGCTGGTCAACACTGAGGAATGGCGAGATGGCTCAAGTGGTTAGGGGGCGAATTTACCGACCGGAAGGTCTATGGTTCTAACCCGACCTCCGCCTTTCGAATTCCCCTGTCTAGGCTTGGGCAACCTGGCAGTATCCCAGCCCTCGTGCTTCTTTCTGGTGGCATGGCAGTTAGGCACCGAAAGGGTGCTACAGCTGAACAGGTTTTTCAATATCGAATGATGCATCCGTCTGGGAGGTTTTTCTCACCCCTGAGTTTGAACTCAGGACTTGGTGTTCGTTAGCCCGTTCAATTACCACCAAGCTAACTTGGACCATTTTCACAACAGAAGAACTTTGTGGAGTCATTCTGGTAGTCGTAGCATCTAGGGTGATCCTGCGGGTTACACTGGCTAAAACTCAGTTCCTTAAGGTTCAACCATGACAGGAAGGCCAACGGGGAGTAGCCCGACGAAGTTTACCGAGTCTCCTTACTCCGAGTAGCCGTATTACGGGACAGTTTGGGGGTGAAGTTTTACTGCCTTCTGCGATATGAGTGTGAAGGCTGTGAGCCATTTCCCTCAGGCGACCGGCGTATCCATATTTATGGAAGCAGTGATGCTGCCTTCTCCCGAGGAAGTGCGGTTTGGAAACGACCCTAAAACCTGTGCACTTCGGTCGCCCAACTGTTGACCGTGATCACCGGCGCATTATTCAATGGGGTGGGAACATTTTAAAACCAGAGTTCGGTGCTGCTCAAAAGGCAACTGTTGTGCACAGCCGCACTATGAGTCAAACGATCATCCTTTACTCCCTGTGCTCTTGCGTCAGGCCAGCCCCCTGCAACCAAGTGGGTTAGACTATTTAGTCATTGATTCCGGGATGGGTCCCGATTGTTGCGAGAGTCCAGTAGTTCCAGGACGGGATTAAAAAGGAGACAGAATAGAAACATGTAATGTACGCTTTAATCGTCTAATAACTGTAGTACATGAGCTGAAAATAGAGTGAGAATCACGAGTTAATGGGTTATGCAAAGGTATGGTTTATATAGTCATGACACCGATTTCCCGTGGTTCAGGCTTTTGAGTCAGAGGCTAAGGAAAGAGTCCCCTAATAAATCGTTCGGCTGTAGCTCCCCTTCGGTGCCGAACTGCCATGCTACCAGAAAGAAGTCCGAGGGATGGGATGCTGCCAGGTTGTCCAAGCCTAGACAAAGTAGGTCGAAAGGCAGAGGTTGGATTCGAACCACGGATCTTCCGGCCAATAAATTCGCGTTCTAACCACAACCGTCTCACCCCACCCCGAAAAAACCTACATCCTTCCACTGTTTCGTGGGTTAGACCTGTGATTCAGTCTCACGTTGGAGTACGGCAGCCAAACCTCGTTCTGGGCAATCAGGAAGTGTCAATCGCCCCTACACATAGTCCATTTATTCCTTCCCACGTCCCTGACCGAAGTCCTGACTCATTTAGCTGTCAATCATCTAATGGTTGCTCCCTAGTAGAATGAGTCAAAATAGATCCTTATTAGATTCATGAGATCTGTGTCACATTGCTCCTTTCAACGCACGTAGACCAACTGATGGCTCACGCCCAGGTTTAAGTCTTTGTTTCGATTAGTGTATGTTGTGTTTCCGAAATACGCACACAAGGTCCAAGCTCGGTCATTCATCTTAAACCGCACTTTACTCGCCTGGTAATCCTGATGTGATGACTCACGTTATCTACGGCGGGGGAGTTGTGCTTAGCCTCACAGCTGAATGCGCCTTACTTGACTGGATTCCAGTAAACACTTGTTTTTGCGCTGTTAGGTTTACTTGTTCAATGAAGCTTAGTGCACCTGAACGTGGTAAACGGTATTTGTGTGCTGTATCAGCATACGCTCCGACATACGGCAGCTCTGATGTTGGGAATGATAGCTTCAATCGAGATTTGTTACGTTTACTCCGGCCAGTGAGATGTACAGATAGTTATTTTGGCAGACTAAATGGATACTCATGTTAGCCGACGAGTCCATGGTGAAACCCATCTTGGTGGCCGGCTTGGGATTGATGCTCCCCTCACAGATGATGGAGGATGACTTCTTCACTTATGTACTGAACATCGTTTGTTTCCAACCAGTAGAAACGCACACACCATGTGACTTGGAAGCCATCCAAAACAAACCAGTTGTGGACTCAGTTGAACCATGTGGCACTCAGTTGCCGGCGGAAAGCTTAGACACGATATTGTTGTGCATTTTGACTCCGATCACGGCATTGTGCGGGCATGTGTACCTATTCGCTTTCGCTCTGGGACGCGTTGGTTGATGCATAGGCATCTAGTTCACCACTTGTGTTCAATAATATCGCGTCGAGTTGGCTTAGAAGCTCCCAGGACTCGATGGGAACAATGTGGACTCTGATGAAGACTGGTAAGAGGTGGAAGAGACCATGCTCACCACCTCTGAGACCGTCTGCCCGAGATGCCTCGCACACCCCGATGGACATTGTTTCTCACCACTGAAATGTCGATTGATGCAAAGTTTAAGGATTGACAGAGGGTGATGGTGGGTCACAGAAGCTCGGAAAATGGAAGAAACTTGCAACGGGGAACAATCGCGCACTGTTTCAGGCAGTCCCACTCACTGGTCTGAGGGTGGATGTTAGTGAGTCTACTTCCAAGAAGGATAGAACCCCAGTCCATTCACCGAAAAGTCGTCTTGAACCATGGGCTGAATACTTTCAAGAACAGTTCAGCTGGGTCCAGTCTGCAATTTTAATGCCTCAGCGCAACAAAACACCTGGACCAGTCGGTTTTCACCCTGTACTCTTCAAACAAGGTGGTGTTCACGGTGGCTAACCTGACGACCCTACTCCACAACATATGGAACGATGAGAAACTCCCAACGGAAACGATCATCTTGACGGTGATTCCGATTTTTCAAAAGGCGCAAGAACATCGTACGAAAAACATCACCACACCACAAAATTAGTGGTGTCAAGCAGGAGCGTCCTCTGTCACCCTTCTTCGACTTCATGATCGGCAGATTGACTCTTTTAGTAACACGGGTAATCGAAATACTGGCGGATCGCTTGCTCATAGAAATTGCCTTTCTTGGATCAGACCTTTTATAAGTGCAAACTACTTTAAATAATATAAATAATTTCACTGCACAGTTTGGGGGGCACTTCGTACCTATACAGTGTAAAATGCTGCTGCAAAATTGAGCGGAATCAAACCCAAAGCTCATGCTTGCAGGAGTCCCAATGGTCTGGTGAAAGACGAAATCACGTCCTGAAATTAGAATGCGTCTACTTATTTCCAATATTTTGGCACCGACATGACGTCACTTTGACTGTCAAGGGTGGGGCATACAATACCGCGTCCGATCTGTTCTACATTATGGATCAGAGACGTGGTCGTTGAATGCGGAAGACCTGCGAAGACTCTGTGTTTGACCATAGGCGCCTCCGAAACTGGGAAACTTGGTGGGGACATTAGATCAGTGATCCTGAAGTAGGGTAGGGGGTTTCCAGGACGTTCGATTTTCGATTGATCAGCTGGTCACTCTCTGCAGGTTACGCCGGTTAGGTCGTGTGCTTCATAGAGTCCTTGTCGTCTAGCCTTGTGCGTGCTCGAAACACCCCTTGATCAGTCAAAGAAGCGTAAAAGATTTTACCATCTAACACAGTAGCGCTGACAAATGCCGTCTTCCCGAATGGAGACTGCGGGCCAAGTCAAACCAATGATTAGTGACCCTGAAGTACATGGCGGTCTTGCGTCAAAGCTACCATCCTCACTACTTAGCTCCCCGTTCCTGTCACACCGGAGAAACAACCATTCGACGCCAATGAACCGGTTGGGCCTTCGCCTCCAACGCGTGGCACTCATTCTGACACTCTTTATCCTCTGTGAAAGGAGCTGTAGCAGCCGAGATCACTACATTTCGATACATGGCTTGTGAACTGAAAAACCGACCTGAACTGAACTGACCTGGTAGAAAATTATGAGACCGGTCGGGTCAACGACTGGCAAACAGGTCTTCGAAACCCATTTAACTAACGCATTTAACTAACTGTCGGTTTGTACTAGACTATATCCAAAGACCAGAAGAAAGTGCCGGTGTTTCTGAATGAGCTGACTAGAGTTATCCCGTCCTTTTGCTTTCGCATTGCACGCACAACTTGTAATGTCATGATTCTGAACATGCGGTCGCTGAACGCGCCATTGACAACTCAGAGATCGGCATTGAATATTGTGGATCTTCTCACGTATCTTAGAATTTGCGTTAGTTTCAACTGTAGTATGACAAATCAGTTCAAAAGACAAATCTATGACGTTTGGGTCGTGTCTGCTAATTTGGGACAGCTATCGTATCATGACAGACTACGGGCCTTTACGACCAGCCGAACTCACTTTTCCTCAGGTCCTCGACATACTTTGTTCCGGAACCGTGGTTGTTGTGGTCTGGTGTAGACTAATCGCAGTGAGGCATTTACCACACTAGTATTCGGTTGTGCAACTGG